TCATGTGTGTACATATTGTACTGTGTCTCTGGTATGAGAAACTGAAAGTGTAAATAAGGACCAAAATGTATAACAGATATCCGGAAATGGGAAGAAAATAGTCACATGAGAAGGGGAACAAGAGAAAGTATAATAGATATTTTGAAATAGGAAGTAAATTTTCAAAAGGGAAGGGGAACTCGGGAGGGGAGAGGGGAAAGGAAGGAAAGGAAAAGAAAAAATGAGAAAATAAGGATAAAATGGCAACACAGTTTTGTAAATAAGGAGAGGAAAAGGGGGGTGGGGAGAAAGAGGAATCAAGATGTGTTATGTTCGGGTATGTTGAGTATGACTATTGTGTACATATATATTGTACCAATAAAGGTGACAAAAAAGAGGGCCAGGCTTGCTTTATTCTTGGTACTTCATTAAATACAAGGTCATTAGGAGTTAAAATTATAATGTATAACTCTATGAAAGGGGTATATATGTTTGTATTTTAAAACAACATATTTTATCTTAGGAAAATAGAGTAATTTTTCCAAATTTAGAAATTTTATAATTTATTTTAAAGGTAAATTTCAAGAATGAGGAAAAGGCAGAAAGAAGAGAGAGAGACGTAAGGTACAATATAGATAAGAGAATATTTTTGACAAGAAAAAACCTGTGTGGTAAGTTGACCTACCCAGAAGTAAAAAGAATGTGACTACAAAATAAAAAGGCTAATTTAAGTCACAAAAAACTGGCCAGTGATGAAATTTCTGAGAGAAAATTTCTAAGTGTGATAAGGTTACCTATAATTTCATCAACTGCTTAGTTAATAAAACTAAAATATATAACATTACTGTGAGACCCATTTCCATCTTTAAAAAAATGCTTTCTTAAAATATTGATACATTTGGTAAAATTTACAGAAAGTAGTCTATGGAAAGCTTTGTGTTTATGCAGTTAATTTCTTCTATTTGGTTTTTGATTACCAGGGAAATTGAGTCTTAATAGAGCCTGGGTTTGTTTAAATGAACCATTATTATTTCATGTTATTCTTAAATATATAACACTTCCTATATCTTGTACTAAACATGTGTAATGCGAGGACTACGCATGCTTGAGCTTGTGCAAACTAAGGATGTGTGAGTTTGACACCTGCCCAGTAACCAGTAAGCGCTGTGCTACACAGTACACACGGCATCTGGACCTGAAACTTAGGGAATGGTCCGTAGAACCTAGTGTTCCTGCTGCTATTCAGTGCCATTCAAGTGGGAAAATGCCATGTGATCGACACTGCCATTTAAATTGTGGTCTATGCCTACTGGCTGTTCTTCAATAATTTATTACACAAATGAGTCACACTTCTGTATCAGGTAATAAGTACATTTGAGGTTTTTAATACTGTTTCTTAATCTTGTATGAGATCTACAGCTGTTCTCTGATTTTTGTCACTACTGTTAAACTTGAAGAGATCTTAAGTACAGAACCGCATGATGATAGTTATACTACCTAGCCATCAATTTTGAGCTTTGCCTTAAAATTGAAAAGTTAAGTTGATATGTAAACATTCTTATAGAAGAATGTTTATTTCTGATTTTATATGTCAAATGCAAATTATTCCCTAGAGTGTAAGCCTTCTTTTTTTTAAAATTTTATTTAAGAAGCAAAAAGAAAAAAAGAAAAACAGAAGAAGGGTACAAGTGTGTAAGCCTTCTAAAATACAGAATTGAGGGTAACACCTTGATATATTGGTTCCCACCCTCAGGACCAACACTGTAAAGATAGGATATGTTACTAACTGTATCAGAATAATTAAATATGACTAAGCACAGGCATTCCAAAATTATTGGCCCAAAAGACACATGTATAAGCAAATGTACCTTACTTAAAAGGACTCTAATTTTGAACTGGACTTATTCATTGTGTTTCTTAAATTATTATGCTGTTTTGATCTTGGTGTCCTTGGTTTGGATTTTCCATGTAGTAGTTTGCAAGTGTGGTCTGTCCACATTCCTCAGGCTTATGACTTCTAACAGACAACCTAAAGAGCACTTGGGGGAGACAAGCCATTCCTGTGAGGTGGGTGGGATCTGAAACGGACTCCGAGTGTCCAGGGAGAATGGCAAGCAGGAGGAGCTCTGCTGACCTCATGGACACTGGTCAACAGATCTTATGGGTGTTGAGCAACTGAGGTGTGGAGGTGAAAGGGAGGTGAAAGGACAATAGGACAGCTGATGATCTGGACCTCCAAGGTCATCGAGGATGCAGGGATGGTGGGCCCCCTCTGCTGGGGTCCTGCACCTACAGTGAGTCACTCAACATCCTGAGCAGGGAGTGTTGGGTCCCCAAAGACAGGAGTCCTCCAATATGTATTGTGCTAACCTGAGAAATCTTAACTCCACAGAAAAGGAAGCTAGTTTGGTTGCATAATCTGTCTCAAGCACTCATGAGAAAGTATAACCAGAGAGTGCACTACTTATGAACATTAAAAACACAAGAGTGCTTTTGTCTCTTCCTCACTGAGTTAAGAAAGATAAACTCTCAGAGGGGAAGATACAGTCATGACAGAGTCAGAGGCTACTTTAGAGATTTGGGCAGGCAGAACCTTGGCCATTGCTAGCTGCTCATTACCAGCATGCTCTGTGTTCTGATCTGGGACAGGCAGGGACTTACACAATGTTTTTGCCATGAGTCATGGCTCTTCACTTGGGTGGCAAGGCTCGACTATCATTTCTTCTCTTGTCATTGGAAATCCTGGGTCATAGCTCTTCTCAGCTCTGCATGGGGCCTGGGCATGATTTAGGATCTGTTTGGACAGAGTTGCTCAGCCCTGAATTCATAAAGTCTCACCCCTTGCAGGACTAAGGACACAAGGTGAGGGGTTGACAGGGAACCTGCAGCCACTGACCTGCACCTGTGACCACTTGGGTTCCAGAGAAGGGGGATCCCCGGTGACTAAGACCCCGGGGACTCTTGTGGAAAGGAAACCATCCTCTGCCCTTGAGATCCCAGACAGAGATGAAAAGACACTGACCACCCAGACCCAGCCCATCGGACGGTCCTTGAAAATGGCCCCTCACCTGTGTGGAGGGTCGGTCTGAACCCTGTATCACAGTGACCCCTTTGGCCACCTATGTTGGACCCTTAACTGTCTCCCTCTGACCTTCTGATTCAAGCTTTCTTCATGCAGTGAGTCATACTGCCGCAATCAGCCTCAGGCTACATTAAACAAGGTGCTCACACATGGGTCCTGTGCCCAGGAAATTTCATCACACATCTGAAGATTTCCCACAATCCAACAGATCTCTGAGATCTGGAGTACTCTGGTACCAAGAGCTTTGCATTAGGGACTCTCAGCCTTCAGTCAAATAAAACCACACTGTGAACCACTGGAGGCTGAGGCAACCTGGCCAGGGTCTCTGCTCAGATGGTCACTGAGGCTGGAGTACAGTGGGCACCCTGGCTGGCTGTGCGGGTCACCTGTGCCCAGTCCTCAGGGCACAGCTAGGGCCCTGCAGACAGCTGGAGGGAATGGGCAGGATGCTGGACCCCATGTGAAAGGGTGATAGTGACAGTGTGGGGCCTCAGTGACCAGTACTCAGCCTCACCTCAGATGTGTGACAGTACCCGGGAGGACTATGTACAGTTTCACAGCACTGAGCTGTGGGGACAGCTTCCCCAACCCTTCCCCTACACCCAAGACCATGCCACACAAGAAAACTAGTTCAGGTTTTTATTGAGCAAGGCAGGGGTGGCCAGGTACACCCCTAAGGTGCAGTTGAGAAACACAGGAGAAAGGAAGAGGAGACAGCTGGTGGGTGTCCATGCTGCCCGGAGGAGCCTGCTCCCTGGACCCTGGGCACTGGGGCACCGAGGAGACTGTACTAGGGCTGGGCTCCATTGCAGGGTTGGAAATATGCAGAGGACTTAGGTGAGGGGTGGTTGTTGCGGCCTGGCCAAAGCACAGCCTCAGGCACTGTGACAGCTGAAGCTTTTCAGGGCTATGTAGTGTTCCCAAGCCCTGAAGTGGACCGTGAAGGAGCACAGCTTCGTCTGTTGAAGGAAGAGAGAGGGACAGTGAGTGCAGCTTCAGGAGAGAGGGAAGACAGACGGAGTGGCTGATAGGCAGTCCCCACATGGCGCCCTCCCCATCTCAGAGATCCTAGGTCCTCACCCCCCACAGTCCTCAGGAGCATCCAGGCAGGGCCAAGAGCCCAGGGGATGCTGGGAAGGGAAGGGGCTCATTGGCCCAGCACCTCCATCTCAGCCCAGGCAGCCCTGAGATACACCAATGTGAGAACCAGGCCTGGGGACCCTGAGACAGGTGGGGTGGCCAGGGTGACAGGGTCTCAGTGCCCAGAGCATGGCTTCGAGGGACCCAGCTGTCAGGAGAGGCTGGAGGCTGAGGGCAGTGCAGGGTCTTAGCCCTCTCAGGCCTGACCTGCTCAGCCTGGCTCTGGGTGGGGCGAGGCAAGAACTCTGCAGAGCCCTTTCCCTCCTCACCAGTCCTGCTGCTGCCTCTCTTGCCTAGCAGGAACACCCCAAAGGCAGGGCTCACCTCCCAGAACCCTGCTCTCCAGGGTCCCACTCTATACCCCAATCATTCCTGTGTGCACAGCTCAGCTCTGGTACCCTATGGGTGCACAGATGTGCAGGTACACACACTCACATGCACCCCACCCCTGAGGGCATCTACTCCTGACCACCACACTCCACACATACACATGCATCTCTGCACTGACATAGGTACCTGTGATGCACACAAACTCAACTCCCACATCACTCACATGTGTGCACTTTTCACCTGTCCACATGTGTGTATATTCACATCTTATCAGGAACCATGAGTGTGCACATTCATCTCCCCTTTGGGCCCACAGGTGCGCACACATGCAACTTTACACCTGTGCCCATACACACGCACATACTATGTAATACTCAAGTGCATGTGTGTGTGAGTGCACACACACACGCACATACACAACCCCTCCACACACATTTTCTTATGTGCATTGCCCCTCTCCACTTCAATCTCATACCAGAGTCTTGCTGAAGGGACAGTCATCCTCCATGGCCTGGTCCTTGGAGCATATGGTGCTGCCGATCTCCAAGTCCAAGTAGTATCTCATGCCCATCGCCACCTAGGGCGGAAGCCGGGACTCTCTCAATGATCCGTCCACTTCACTGCATGGGTACTCCCTGCACTGGACCCACTGTGCTCACCAGGGCTCAGGCCAAACCTGCCCGGCCTGCACTGCTCCCCATCTCCCTGCCAGATGGCCCTGCTCTGTGTTCACCTTACTCCCTTCCAAAGAGTTACAAAGAGGGTCTCATGTACCCAAGTAAGACAGAGCAGAGTGGGCAGGTAGGAGCCAGGACTGGACACTCTGATCTGAGCCCTGAGAGGGGGTACTCAGGGAGCAGTCAGGACCCTGAGCCAGCATTTCCTGTCCAGAAGGCAGAGCGGGTCCAGCCCAAGCAGACTCTGTGCTTAGTGGGACGCACTGGCCACTGCTCCAGGGGAGCTGCAACCTGAGGAACAAGCAGAGCTGGTCCCTCAGAGACTTGGGCCCCCATCCACAGGACTATTCTTTCCTGCCTCAGCAACAGGGTGCAGTCCACAAGGTCCCTTGGGGCTCAGGGTGAAGCCTTGTTTTATGGCCCTCAAAGTTTCACTGCATGATGTCATAGGGAACACATACAAGGAAATGTGTCATCTTAGGGATGCCCTCACATCCTATCGGTCCTTGCTAGGAATCCCCCTGGGGCTCAGGAGCATATACCCAGCTGGGCGGACCCTGACAGGCTGAGGTCATGAGCACAGAGCAGCTGCTCCAGGGGAGAGGAGGCTGAGTCAGGATGGGCTGCAGGGCCTGGGAGTGTCCTCAGTGGACAGCAGCCACACCATGTGGGGCTCTGTGAGAACTGAGTGTGAGTGTGGCTTGCTGAGGTCAGGTGGGTCCTAGGTGTGGAGGGCAGGTTCTTGTGAGTGGGCAGTGTCCACTGCAGGGTGCATCCCAAGGACCAGAAAGATCCACACTCTCCACACACAGCTCCACATGCTAGGGGAAGTCAGGAGCAGGGCCACATGGGGAAGGGCGACCCCGGGAGGGATGGGTGCAGGGCCCAGGACGCCCTCCACTCCAACTGTGCTTGCTCTGCAATCTGAGGTCCTGACAGAGCCAGGATCTGAAGGACAGGGGTGGAGCTCAGGAGAGGAGGGAACAGGAGCGAGGTCCCTGTCCCTGCTGTGTGGTCACTTGATTCACAGTCTACAAGGTTCCTGGCCCAGAAGGAGGTGATCAGGAGCATTAACGGTAGGGACCCTGACCCTGGCCTGGCACCTGGTATCTCTGCCAGCTGGGATTAGAACCAGGTTTAAGGCTCAGGGGTCTGACACAAAGCCTGTCATGGTCTAGGCCAGGCTTCGTGGTGGGAGTCAGGGTTACACCAACCGAGGCCAACTAAGGAACCCCAGGGACCACATGAATGTCCATCCTGGTGAGATCCCTGCACAGGGTCATGGGCTGCAGAGCTTGCAGCCCACCCAGATGGGCATTGGGCAGGGTGGGGGCAGGGAGCAGAGGGAGGGAAGCGGCAGGTACAGATGGACCGTGCCTCGCAGGCCACCCTCGTAGGCCAGTGTCCACGCACCTGCTGTTGGACTCGCACTATCCGTGCCACGCGGTAGAGATTCGGCTCTGCATTTGCCCTGTTGTACTCCTGGATGGCGAAGTCCACTACATACTGCACCTCCTCATCTGAAACATTTCCCTCTTCCAATTCTCCCATTAGGCGAAGCCACTTTTTGACGGACTTCAAGGCCATGGGGGTCATGGCCAGGCTCAAGACCAGGACAGCCAGGAGCAGCACAGGGACACGCAGGGATGAGGCCATGTCTGCAGGACACCAAGCCGGAGGTATAGCACAAAGAGAGCAGTGATGCAGAGGCCACAGAACTGGCCTGGGTGGCCCTGCTTTATCCTCCCAGACTCCAGCCTCTCCCAGCCCAGCCCCTCCTTTCCTAGTGACCCCTCCCTCTGCTGTCCCCTCCAGTGCTGGCTGCTCCTCCTCTGTCCCTCTCCTCCAGGCTATTGGCCTCCTCCCTCCTCCTCCTATGCCCTCCCTACTCCTGCTCTCCTGACCCCCTTGATTGTGCCCATCCTGAGCTCCCCAGGTTTGGTCTCCCTGTTCTCCACAATTCTCTGGTCCCTAAACCCCGTGACTCATGACTCTATTTCTACAGCAAGGGAACAGAGTAGCCTTGGCTTCCCAGGGGAATCTGAGGTCAGGGACTCTTGGGAAGAAGAAAGTGATTTCAGAGGTTCTGGGAAGCCTGGGTCCTGGCCAGCCCTGAAAACTGCTACGCCAAGGAGGAGTGACCCCACTTTACTTGGGAAAGAACAAAGGGGTCTTCTTAAGGACTCAGGATTAGTCAGTGATCAGATCTCCCAAGAACTACTCCCAGCCAAGTGGTCCAGGTTAGACGGGCACAGGTGGCTGAGTCTGGAGGTGATACCTGGTGGGGCCCCCACAAGCTGGGACACTGAGTGTGGCTGTAAACTTCCAGTAGACACACTAGGAAAGTGAAAAGAACAGGAGAGATCATGTTAATAAAATGTCCATTTGACCTTTATACCAAATGTCATCTCACGATATAGGACAGTTCTTCATGAGGGGCTTTATACTGACTGTGTGTGTGTGTGCGTGTGGTCTTTGGAATCTGGATGTTGGTGACCAGCATGGCAGGTATCTGTGGGGACTGTCCCCATTCCAGCCCTGTGGCCCCGTGTGATGGTGGCTGAGCCCCAGCTTCAAGGAAGGTATTTGGGGCTAGCTGACAACACTCCAAGTCAGGGAAGCACGGGAGCTCTGCTGGGAGGAGAGGAAGTACTGGGGACAGAGGCTGGGGCACTGGACACTGGCAGAGGACTCCTGGGACTCAAAATGATGCAAGGTTCTGCCTAGAGCAGGATTCAGGGCCAGCAGAGGCGCAGGCAGGGGCAAGCCTGGGACAGGTGCTTGCTGCCCTGGGAGCCAGGAGCAGGGAGGGGGGGGGTCTCTGGCACGGCAGCAGTGATCTTCTGGCTCAGCCTGGATGCTGGGGACAAGGCCCTGAGATGGGGACCGGGGGGGGTGGATCATGGAAGGTGGTGGAGAGGTGCACGTCAGAGCCCACGGGCCACTCCGGCTTCTCCAGGGCAGGACTGGTTTCCATACAGGGATCCTGTCTTAGGAGGATGTTGCATATCATTGGTCAGCTGAAGGGGCCACTCCTCCCCCTGTAGTCAGGAAAGAAGTGCAGGTCACTCAGTAGCTGGGGTGAGTGTGGGCATGTGAGCCTTCTGTGATGTGAATCCAGGGCCTGTGTGTTAAGACACTGAAATGCACTGCGGTGTGGGGTCAGATGACTCATGTGGGGGCTCAGGCCAGCACAGGTGCCCCAGGGTGGCTTGGCAAGTGGAGGAGGCTTAGGGGAAGGCTGAACCTTCTGCATACCGTTGGGCATTCCAGGTGAATGTATTGTTGCTTCAACATGATTCTAGAGTGGCTGCTTCCCCTTATTTTTTGGGTCCGTGAAGCTCCAGCGGTGATGGTCTGCCTTGTTCTGGCGTCCCCAACTTTGGGAGGAGCCACTCATGCCCTCAATAGCTTCGTACCCCAGACTGAGCCATAGTCCTCAGGTGGAGCCCAGGACCTGAGCATCTTTTGCCAACAGAGGAAGGAGAGGGAAGGAGCTGTTGTCATCTGCATGTGTGGCTGTCCATCTCCTGATCTGAATCAGGACAGGGAAGAATTAAGTGGTGGTGTTGGGGGATAGGGATTCTTAGGGGCAGTCATTGGTAAGTGGACATTAAGGAGAACTGTACAAGTAAGTGAGCGAGCACATAAAGTGTCAGCTGAAGGGGCCAGAGGCTGGGTGCAGTGGGCAGAAGCTGGCGCTCTGAGCAGGCCAGGTTGAGGCTTCAGGCCTGGTGTTAGTGCAGGGGCCTGGAATGGGGTGAAGAGTCTGGCAGAGGGGGTCTGAGGGGCAGGAGATGGAAGGTGTGGTGGATGGGGCGGAGCAGAAAGGGGTTCGTGTGGGAAAGGGAGCTGTGTGGGGTGGGCAGGTGTGAGCATGATGTGTTTTCTGATGTTTTATTGGGAAAAATTTCATGCACACAAGCTTTGCAGTAAATGCTGCACCCTCTACCCTGCTGGGTCACCATTTGAAGCAGATTCTACTCATTGCCACCCACCTGTCCCCCAAGTCTATCTGTTGTTGGCTGGATCAGAGTGAGCCGCAGACCCCATAGACCCCACAAGTCCTGTGTGAGCCAGGGTTCAGGGCTCTACAGGCTGCCTTAACTGAGAAACTCTGCTGACACACACGGATCTTAGGCCCACATGATGGAGTAAGCAGTGTAGATGATGCCTTCTGAGCACTGGGCTCGCTGGCTTGGTCTCCTTGGCTCTGCCGGTGGGTGCAGCCTCTACGATGCTCTTAGACTGGCCTCTCCCTGGCTCTGCAGTGCTGGAATCTTGGGAGGGCACCCATCTTTTTCTCCTCTTCTCTATTTCTCCTTTGTGCTTTTAAACTTTGAGTACTCCCTCCCCCAGGCTTGCTCCAACTTTCCTAAATCCAGGTCTTTCTTTCCTAAATCCAGGTGTGGGTTTTCCTCCAGTACTGGGGGTTGAGCTCAGGGCCTTTGCACTGAGTTAAAGCCCCAGTACTTTTTAAAAGTTTTTAAATTTTAAATGCTAAGTCCCTAAATTGCCTAAGCTGAGCTCAAAAGTGTGATCCTCCTACCCAGGCTTCCTAGAGTGCAGGGGTTACAGGTGTGTGTCATCAAGCCTGTCTGCCCTTCTGTTTCCTGTCTTCCATACACACCTCCACCCTTCTATCTCTGCTCCAAATGCCTGGGCTCCTGTGACCTCACTGAAGTTCCCCTCACCTGAGTTCCTGTGCCCTCAGTGGCCACGGCTGCTGAGCTGAGGGTGAGGTCCTCAGAGTCCCTGATTGCTAGAAGATGAGGGCTGCAGTGGCTGCAGGGGTCTAGCATGCCCTTCCCCAGCCACAGCAGCCTCTTCTGCTGGCCCCACTACTCTGGAGGCTGTTAGGGTGCCACTCTGCTACCTGCCCAGGGCCCTGGGCTGGCCAGGTCCTCCTCCCACAGATCTTCGGGTCTTCTTCACCCCTTCAGAGGTCTGCACACAGATCTGCCTCCCCTGAGCTGTCTCTGACCTCGCTATTTAAAGCCATGCCCTCCTTTCTTTGTTCCTCCACAAGCATTTGTTCACTGCACCCCTGAGGTTTGGTGTGTGCATTTCTTGTGTTTCCCGTCTTTACCCAGCAAATGCAAGCTCCGGGCTGTTGTCTATTTCCTTCTCTTCCCGGTGCCTGGCACGGATCAGGCCCAGGCATTTGCTGAATGGCAGGAGTCAGGATTACTGCCCTTAAACTTAAGCTCCTTTTATGATTTTTCTGAGAAAATGCCAGCATTTCCTCCCAAGAGAGCTTGTCTTACATAACTGGAGTTTCCTGCCCTATCTAAAGAGGGAAGAGAGATGGCTCCAGGGTTGCAGGGAGAGAAGGAAAACCCAAAGAGTCAGTTCTGAAGCTTGTTTGTAATATCGCTAAGGCTTGAAGGAAACAGAGCTCTGTGGAGAGTGGGTTTATCTGAAGGAGGCTGAGAGGAAGTCAGAGCAATATTCCAGGGAGCCGGGCCTGGAACACAGAACTCGAGTCTTTAGAGGAGCGGCCACCGTGGAGAGGGGTGACCTGGCTCCTGTTCCCAGTCCTGCCTTTTCCCCTAAGGAGCCAGGGCTGTGCTGGATGCTGCTGCCCAACTTGGGCTCTACCTGTGCTGCCTGATTGGAGGTTGGAGGGCTGTGGATGTGGGGACTTCGAGGACAGGAAGTGTCCAGGTTGGGGAAGCACAGACCCAGAGGAAGCCCATCAGCACTTGTGTGTCCAGCAGGTGCTGACTGACCAGTGTCTATTTTCTTGAGAAGAATTAGGGCAGAGAAGAGGCCCTGGCTGGCGGCCTCTCTAGAAGCTGCCTTTCCTGAGGGTCCCTCTGTGGGGCTGCACCCTGGCCACACAGCAGGACATGGGCCAGCATGCCCCAGAACTGGCCTTGTCCTGATAGGGCAAAAGCAAATGCCAAAGAATGGAAGTGTCAAAGGGAAAACACAAAACCACAGCACAGACACTTCTTGCTCTGGGGAACATTTTACAGGAACACGAATGTCTAGTGCCCTCCTTGGGTGTCATCGCTGGAGGGAGTTACAAGAAACACAAGAGAGATAAGAAAAACCAAAGAGTTTCATTCCCCTTTGTCGAGTGTCAGCTCTCTAATAATTGTTTTATTTGTATGGATGTGAGGGTCTGACACAATCATTCCCTGTATGATTCATGGGCATTGAGTAGAGCTGTATCTGGTGACAGGCCTGGCACTTGGTCACAGGGGCTGAGTCACATCCTTCAGGGTGATCACAAGACACAGATCCAGTTCTGATATTGCTACCACGGGATGAAGGGACAGAGTTCCAGGACAGCTAAGGACAGGTACCTGCCCTGAGGGCCCTGTACCTGGGGAACCTTGAGAGAAGACAGGAGAAGACAGAGTAGCACAGAGATTGTGTTTCACCTTGAAAAACTACAAATTTGTGAAAAAGTCGCAAATTAGATGGTTGGGTTCGTGTTGTCTTAGGTGGGCTATGTTCTCCAGCTGTGTAGTCACACTGGTGTCGGGACAGCAGGGAGCCCAAAAGGGTCCCCATGACCCCCTGCATGGCTTGACCCTAGCCCACCTCCCAGCTGTTCCCAGTTGGGGCCTGCCCTACACACATGGTCCTTTGGGACCACAGCACTGTGGTGCTGGATGGCTAAGTTCAAGGTACAGTCTGGACCA